TAGGAAAGGATTACACAGAAAGATATACAGAGCTAAATGCCTTCAAGTGATACTGCAGAGAAAATACTACAGGGTGAAGAGGGACACTAGGAACACAATGGAAGGTGGAACGAGCACAGGAAGAAGGCAAAAGTGCAACCAAATATTAGTCTTTTATGGCTCTCATGTTTAAGTCAGGTGCTGCTGGATCAGATGAACAGCTGAAAATCCCTGGAGGTACTGTCCTCATTGAGCAGGTGAAAAAACTCACAGCAACTGAGGCTGAGTAGCTCTATCCCAATTAAATTTTGCACTCAATTTAATTTAAGGAGGCTTAGAAGTAGGCTAACCAAAGGGAAAGTCACGGGAACGGGAAAATGGGTGAGAAGCTGGTGTGTGCTTCTAGTGCCTTTGCTCCATCCACCTCTACTCCAGGGCCCCCTTCTGGTCCCAGCCCAGCGAGGTCTAAGATGGCTGCCAGCTCCTCCCCTTCAGCAGGTTCGGTGCAGCTTTCCCTCTAAAACAGGACATGGAACTGGCCCTCAGCCTCCCACCACTGTTCTTCATAGAATCATTACGGTTGGAAAAGACCTCTAAGACCAACCATCAACCCAACACCACCACACCAACTAAGCCATGTCCTGAAGTGCTTCTTTCAGGAAAGAAAACCGAGTCTGGAGAAAAATTTGTTCCTTTCCCCCCCGTCCCCAAAGAACAGCAGGCATTCCCAACTTCTTCTAAGGTCCCAGCCATAAAACCACCAGCAGAGGAGGTATGTCATTCAACTTCACATCAAACTACAGCAAGAGGCAAAGGACAACTGCAAAAAACCATACAACTCTTTAGAAAGACCTCTCTTCAACAAGGATACTACCTGTACTCACATTTTTAAATCCTGCATCCTCAAAAGCAACACAGCTTTGTTAAAGCATTTTCACATCAGACAATGAAACAATATGTAGGGAACACTTGGTATTGAAGAAAAGAAAAAGCCCAGAACTGGAAATGGAAGCATCAAGACTGATCATGCAGCAAGCTCCACATTTTGGCCTCTAAACCTTTTATGCTAAAAAACAATGTGAAACAGGAAAACCTAGCCAGCTAGGCTTTTGAGCACACTAGCCTGTGATTAAATAAGGCTCCTGAGCTAAATGAAAGGAAACCTTCTACCATTATCAGGGCAATACCTGTGGTTATAGGGAACCCTGAACTCTAACTTGGCACTAAAAAAGATAAATTATACCCCCTCTCCATTCAAGCATCAGGTTTTAGAGACCTCTTCACTACCTCAAGTATGTCCATTAGTAAAGGCAAAATACTTGGCAAACATTGATTTAGGCTGCCAGCACTTAAAAAATCTGTAATGCCTTATTAGTGGTATTAGTACATAATCTAGAGCAATGCAATTTGATGAAAGGTAATTTGATTTACACAGCTTTGAATACGAGTAATTAGGTATCTTGTTTACTGAGCAAAAGAATCAATAAAAATTCACCTGGGATTTTACTTATCACCTCTTAAAAAACAACAACAACCACCCAACAACTCGCATTAGGCAATGATCTTTAACGTTTGGCTAGAACTTAAGCACGTTCGTTAGTGTGGTGCCAGTTTTAATTGCATACCCAACCTCCAAACCTACTAGATGTCAGGGTTCAAACATGAAGTGATACGTAAACTGACCTGGCTGAGATACTGCAGTGGCTGTAAACTGAGTAGCCCAAGGGGGATTCTTCTGTCCTCCAAACTGAGCCATGGCGAAAGGCAAACTCTCCCGGGTCTCTATCTTCTAGAACTGCAATCTAGTAAAATAAAACGCAGCTACAGTCTCGGAAACATAAACCATCGGGCTATTTTAACTCTGGGCCGAAGAAAAAGAAAAAAAAAAAAGGCGTTGAAAGATTATCTTGACGCCCCTAAACGGCAACACACAAAAAGTTGCGAGACAAGTTAATTTTATTTTCCGACGCTGCGACCTCCGCCCGCCCCGCCTGAACAATGGGGCTCCCCACACGC